GAGTGCTGCTCCGCTATCCTGAAGACTACACCTGACTACTGTCTGACTACCTACCCGTGAAGTGCCTAGGACAGTCCTATGTACTACCACGGGTGCCTCCTGACTGCAGGCGAGCAGTCCAGGAGGCTGCTCTTGCCAATGCCGATCGRAGTCAGGGGCTGCCGCTGCAGCTCCTGCTCGAGCTCGTGAGGAACAGGCTATTTCTGGTCTGTTCCGCATCCCTGTTTACGTGCCTGAGTCTTAGGGGCAGGTCGAAACAATGAGGCCCTGAAAATGGCCCTCCGTTTCAGGCTGGAAAACCTCTGGGTCTGAAAGACCCAGAAATAGGCTGAAACGGAGTCGGGCCTGCAGGCCCTCGTTTTTCAGCTTTCAGGCTGAAACGACCGAGGCCTGTAAGCCCTAAGTTTTAGGCTTTTAGGCTGAATGTCCGGGACGGGCCCTGCAGGGCCCGTGTGGCTACGCAGTATGCCACTCACGCCCTGCAGTCCGCCACTGCAACGTGGCAGCTTAGCTTGGTCACGATCAGCACGCTGAGCCTGTTCGACCCACGACCATCAGAACCGTTAGATACTCAACCCAAGGTATGCTACCTGTGCAGAGAGAGAGAGAGAGAGAGAGAGAGAGAGAGAGAGAGAGAGAGAGAGAGAGAGAGAGAGAGAGAGAGAGAGAGAGAGAGAGATGCAAGTTCGTGCTGTGGGACTGGGTATAGAGGGTATTCCCATCTTTAAGTGGGGTACAGATGCAATTTCCCCGTTTTTTTTTTTTTTTTTTTGACAAACGGGCCCAGTGCCCAAGGCTGAATTATACACTCCGCCGGAAACTGCGCCCGGTGTCCCTTACAAAAAAAGGCAGCAGCCACGTTGGAATGATCCAGGCACTCCGGACTGGTCCATTCCCGGGCCGTGCAACAAGACCAAGCAATTCAAAAGCGTATGAGCTCAGTACAAAAACCAATGAAACCATGAAAGAGAAAAACAACCATCCAAAGCTGTCACCACTCCCTGGGAAACTGCTCTGCCACACCCGCGGCAGGGGTCTGTGTCCACAGCCGCCCAACTGCAAACACGGACCCTGCAAAGCCCACCCACCTCCTCGCAATTCAGGGCAGACTGCACCGCTGCCTGCCCTCACCATTACCAAGAACACCAACTCTTACCATGATGGTGTTTCTGCAAACCCGAGGAAATACCCTACCACCCGTGCGGCAGGGGCCGGCGGCCCTGCAAAACCCTCCCACCTCCTCACAATTCAGGATAAACCACTGCCCCAATCTGCATCCGCTCCCTAACGGAGGTTCACCAGTTTCCATGATAAAGTCCCGGCGGACCTACGGTACCGTTCACTTTCAGGCTCAGCGTGCGCAGGGCATTTTTAGGCTCGGCATCCTGGGTTCGCTCCCTCAGGAAAGGTCCATCAATTGACACACAAGACTGGGTGACGGCAGTGGACGCTCTGCCCCTCCCCATGACAGTCTACAAAGTGCACAGCGTAGGGCCCGACCAAGCCAACCTACAGGCCCACTGGCGAGCGCTGGTCCAAATTGCTAAGGGACGAGGACCTGGACATGACCTGCCCAACCCCTCTGCTCACAAGGACCAGGGTGGTGGAAGACCCAAAAGAAGGTCCCTACCTATATGAACCATCAACCCCCCTTCTCCTGTTACCATTCGACCCAACGGAGTGGAAATGGACAGGCTATGACTCACACGCTATGACTCACACTCCATGCCCCTCTGGCAGTACACAGTAAAAAAAGGCTACAGGATGGGACGCAAATATGTCCCGATCACACAAACCATTATCAGAAGATGGGAGAGGGACTCCCCCTTGACAACACAGGACCTTCACGACCTTAAATGGTCTACCTACGCGAGCATCAAACCAACAAATCATAGAGCCCTTCAGTGGCAAATTCTTCACAGATGTCTGCCGACGCTCGACTGGCTGACAGCAAGAACTGACATGGAAGAGAAAGGGATATTATCCCCCATATGCACATACTGTTCCCACTCCTTCCCGAGGAAGAGGGCTACTCTTGAGCATTGCCTGATGGTCCAGCAGCTATGGAGATGGTGGGACGCCGCCTGGCACTACCTAACCAATGAACACTTGCCCTGGAGCATCCGCTCCTTACTTCTGGGGGGCTCTCCCCCCGGTAGCAATACCTGGACGCCCTTTATGTCCAACCTCTTCTCCTGTACCAGGCTGACAATCCTCATGCAGGCTTGGAGAATGCGCTGCTCATTCCAAAGGAACCAGCACACATTTGGTTTTATACAGGCACGTGCAGCTGTAATTGACACTATCACAACTAAGACCCACGAGGCCCACAAGGAACTGCAGTACAAGTTGAAAGAGAAACCTGATGTTGCTAAGAAACAGGAACTGGGTGACACCTTCAACTCCACATGGACTGACAACCGCAACAGGTTGTGCAGCCTCACTCAGAAGGCACAACTGCAATGGCAACCCTGACCCACGACGGAGAGACAGTGGGAGCGCATGCCACAATCCCACTTCCAGGTGAACTATCAACAGACGAACTTCACTCTCATTCCGAACGAAAGCCGTGATAGCCTACCCAGATAGCCTGATCATATCCGCCTCCCACTCTCCTCCCAACCCCATCGCCCCCTCCTACCCCCTGCGTCCATTGCCCTTAACTAGCTGGCCAAGGACAGACCCACACCAAACTCTTCACATGAATACAGATCATCAGACAGGGATACCAACAGGCACCCCTCCAATGGGAGACGAAAGGCACACAATGAAGAGGTCTCCAGATGATGCAGAGAGATAAGGCTTCAGCAATGATACAAGGGGAGGGGAAGGGGAAGGGCACAGGGAGTAGGGCCAAAAAATAGAACCTCAGCGATAACAAAAAAATGAGGGCACAGGAAGAAGTAAGGGAGGGTAGCTAGGAGGTGGGACCGGGATCAGAAAGGATAGGCGCATGACATTGAAGAGGGTATAGGGGGAAGAGGGTATAGGGTTTAAGGGGTTCAAATGAGTCAGGCATGATACGGGGGGGCTGCCGACCAAGGCTGGGCGAATGAATAAGGGGCTCTATGAAGGGATGGGTGTTATCAGCAGCTCCATGGGACAAGAGAGACCAGGATCAGAGAATAAGAAAGCCCACAGCCCAAGGAAAACAACAACAACAATCAGAAATCCTCAATCCTGACGGCCCTCTTATCACCGACGGGAAAAGAGGATCAGATGACATTTATCAAACTACCGTAATGGTATCTCCACACGTACAGTATTAGACACAATACCATAACACCACAAATGGACAGATAGCAAGGTCTCAAACAACAGATGGCAAATCGTGACATCCTCACTTTCCGGAGCTTGGTACAGTTTTGAGTTACGGGGCCCGACGAAGCGCTTCGCCGCCCGACGTTTGGACGCGACGGCGGGCCTTGCGGTGAGGGCAGGAACGAGGAGCGGCGGGGGCGCTGCAATG